CCTACCCCACCCTCCAGTCTTCTGTTGCCAAAACTCCTCTTTAAGCCCATTGTAAAGTGCCATCTCCACTGATCATTAGCTTCTCTGGCTACACTTCCTCTGCATTCCACTTGAAGGCTGAAATTCTTCAAGGCTCTCTATTCTCTCCTGACACTCTTACACTGCCAGAGAACCGAATAGTTTCAGCAGTCATCTCGAGTTCTAAACCAGATGTTTCTGCCTAAATTCTTTTCCACATCAGACCTGCATTTTGACAGCTTTTTAGAACTCTCACCCACATGGCTGACTCGCACCTAAAAACACAAACATCTCCGAAGTGTAACACATCCTAATCCACCCATAAACTTGATCTTCCTCTTTCAGTGGATATGAGTATTCATTAACGTTGTTATCACTATTGAGCATGCTGCCCGAGTTACAAACCTCAGGGCGTCTCTGTATTCACTATTTCTTCCTGCTCCTCTTTCAACGAACATTCTGGTACCTACCATGCAGCAAGCTCATATCCAGTTTAAAGCCCATGTTCTATCATCCTACCTTCCCGGTTGGAAGAGCCTGGTCCTTCCTTCATCCTGCTCATTTCACTTCAAGTCCTTGTCACCTCCTCCCCTGACTGCCACAGGAGGCTCTTCTTCACCTCAAGCACCTATCCAAAAAGTGTACCTCCTACTACTCCACGCGAACAAATAATACTGCTAGAAGAATAAACAGACTTCCCTATAATCCTGAGGTATGAAAAGACTTCTTAAGCAGATGGAAACCCCAGAATCCTTGGACCATCCCACTGTTTTTTCTATGGTTAAAATACACATGACATAACTTCCGCCAAGATGGAGGTGTAGGTGGTAACACTTCCTTCTCGCACAACCAAGCTTAAAGACAACAAAGTTTTAGTAACAAAAACACAACCAAAACACAGAAAATGAACTATATGGAAGTCTGACAACAATGAACCATTCAGCCAAACTGATAAGGGGCAGAGCCAGCAGCGGAGCGGGTGGGGCAGGAAAGATCCACCTGATGCACGACCCAGGTGGGCAGGCAACCATGAGTGGATCCCAGGTGTGGAGTAGCAGTGGGCAGATCCACTGAGGGCTGACTTCGGTCACACATTGGCACACAGATAAACCAGCAAAGGAGCGAGCAGTGAGACAGACCACACAGGCCCCAGCGGCGGGAAGCAGCAGAGGGGGCCACTATTGCCCCTCCTTGACCCCGCCCCCACGTACAGTGTCACAAACCAGCAACCTGGGTGGCCCCACCCTGGTAAACACCTAAGGCTCCGCTCCTCATAGGTAACAGGCTGGGAACAGACCAAAACATGGCTGAAGAAGAACTCGAAGCCCAAGAGCCCATAACTTTAAGTGATCAAGAGATAGCCAAACTTTCAGATGCACAGTTCAAAACACTGGTGATCAGGATGCTCACAGAACTGGTTGATTTTAGTCACAAATTAGAGAAACATATGAAGGCTAAACTAATTGAAATGATGGGAAATGCACAAGAAACCAATAGTGATGAAAAGGAAATTGGGACTCAAATCAAGGGAGTGAACCAAAAGGAAGGAAAAAATGACCAAATAGAAAAATATGAAGAAACAAGAATTCAAAAAAAATGAGGCTTAGGAACCTCCAGGACATCTTTAAACGCTCCAACATCCGAATTATAGGGGTACCAGAAGGGGAAAAGGAACAGCCATGAGTGGAAAACTTATTTGAACAAATAATAAAGGAGAATTTTCCCAATCTGACAAAGGAAATCCAGAAAGCTCAGAGTCCCAAAGAAGTTGGACCCAAGAAGGAACACACCAAGGCACATCATCATTACATTAGCCAAGATGAAAATGAAGGAGAGAATCCTAGAAGCAGCAAGAGATGAGGGAACAGTCACCTACAAAAGAGTTCCCATCAGACTGTCAGCTGATTTCTCAAAAGAGACCTTACAGGCAAGAAGGGGCTGGAAAGAAGTATTCCAAGTCATGAAATCCAAACACCTACAACCAAGATTGCTCTATCCAGCAAAGCTTTCATTTAGAATGGAAGGACAGATAAAGTGCTTCTCAGATAAGATCAAATTCAAGGAGTTCATTATCACCAAGCCCTTGTTATATGAAATGTTAAAGGGACTTACCTAAGAAAAAGAAGATAAAAAAGATGAACAGTGAAAGGACAGCAAACTCAGTTACTAAGAACCACACCTAAAATAAAAGCAAACTAAGAGGACAGCTAGATCAGGAGCAGAACCATAGAAATGAAGATCACATGGAGCATTTAGCAACAGGGGAGTGGGAGGAGGAGAAGGGGGGAGAAGGTACAGAAAATAAGTAGCATAGATGGTAGATAGAAAATAGATAGTGGGGAGGGCAAGAATAGTATGGGAAATATAGAATCTAAAGAACTTGAGACACGTGCTCATAAACTAAAAGGGGGGAATGGTGGAGGAGGGGGGTGTGCAGGATGGAGGGGAATGAAGGGAAGAATAGAGCAACTGTAATGGCATAATCAATAAAATATATTTTTAGGGACTTCCGCCAAGATGGAGGCATAGGTGGATGTACCGTGCCTTCTCACACAACCAAGTTTAGAGACAACTAAATATTAGCAACAGAAAACACAGCCAGAACACGGAAAATTGAACTTTTCAGAAGTCCGTTAACAACAAATTCTTCAGCCTGACCTGTAAGGGGCGAAACCAGCGGCTGGTGAAGCGGGATTGCACAGGAGGTCTCAGTCAGCCGGACTCAGGCGCGGAATCCAGACGCGCGCAATCCAGGCTCAGGGTTGGACCTAGTGAGTGACCGAGCGAGCCACCAGGCGAGCGACCGCGGGGGAGACAGCGGGGGAGCAGTGCTGTGTGTTGACTGTGGTCACGCATTTGTGCGCGGGTGGACAGGCGAGGGAGTGGGCGGTTGGACCGGGCCCGGCGGGTCCCCGCAGCAAGCGGCAGTGGAGGGCGCCGCCATTTCCCCGCTCTGACCCCACCTCCACATACAGCGTCATAACCCAGCAACTCTGAGTGGCCGGGCCCAGGTGAACACTGTATCCTCACCAGTGTGAGAAACAGCAGGGGGTCTTTCAGCGTCGACTGGGAGTCCAAGGCACCGCTTCTCACACTTAAAGGGCCAGAACAGACCAAAAATGGCTCAAGAAGATCTCAAAGCCCCAGAGCCCATAGATCTAAGCGATGAAGAAATAGCAAAACTCTCAGACGCACAGTTTAAAACACTGGTCATCAGGATCCTCACAGAACTGGTTGATTATACCGACAAATTAGACAAATATATGAAGGCGAAACTAATTGAAATGAATGGAATTGCACAGGACACCAATAGCAATGAAAAGGAAACTGGGACTCAAATCAATGGAGTGGACCAGAAGAAAGCAAATAATGGCCAAACAGAAAAGAGTCAAGAAGCAAGAATTCAAAGAAATGAGGAGAGTCTTAGGAACCTCCAGGACATCTTTAAACGCTCCAACATCCAAATTATAGGGGTACCAGAAGGGGGAAAGGCACAGCCACCAGTGGAAAACTTATTTGAACAAATAATAAAGGAGAATTTCCCCAATCTGGCAAAGGAAATAGACTTCCAAGAAATCCAGGAAGCTCAGAGAGTCCCAAAGAAGTTGGACCCAAGAAGGAACACACCAAGGCACATCATCATTACATTAGCCAAAATTAAAATGAAGGAGAGAATCCTAGAAGCAGCAAGAGCTAAGGGGACAGTCACCTACAAAGGAGTCCCCATCAGACTGTCAGCTGATTTCTCAAAAGAGACCTTCCAGGCAAGAAGGGGCTGGAAAGAGGTATTCCAAGTCATGAAATCCAAAGATCTACAACCAAGATTGCTCTATCCAGCAAAACTTTCATTTAGAATGGGAGGACAGATAAGGTGCTTCTCAGATAAGATCAAATTCAAGGAGTTCATCATCACCAAGCCCTTATTATATGAAATGTTAAAGGGACTTATCTAAAAAAAAGAAGTTAAAGAAACATGAACAGTGAAAGGACAACAAACTCACAGTTATTAACAACCACACCTAAAACAAAAGCAAACTAAAAGGACAGCTAGATCAGGAGTGGAAACATAGAAATGAAGATCTCAAGGAAGGTTAGCAACAGGGGAGTGGGAGGAGGAGAAGGAGGGAGAAGGTACAGAAAATAAGTAGCATAGACAGTAGATAGAAAATAGATGGGGGGGGGCAAGAATAGCATGGGAAATATAGAATCTAAAGGAATTGAGACACATGGTCATAAACTAAAGGGGGGTTAATGGTGGGGATGAGGGGGTAGGGTGGAGGGGAATGAAAGGGGGAATAGAACAACTGTAACAGCATAATCAATAAAACAATTTAAAAAAATAATAAAATATATTTTTAAAAAATACACATGACGTAAAACATATTTCTTTAACCCTTCTGTGTAGCTTAAAGCTCTCCTGTTCCACCCACTTGACAGTCACTTTGTGCTTGTTCTTTGATTACCTGATAGGCCATAAGCTCCTTGAGGACAAGCATCACCTCTTGCTCACCTTCGTGTTGCGTGCAAATTATTTGTGCATTATTTGCCAGTAAATGAAGATTTGTTTAATTAAACTGTATAGACTATAGTATATCCTGAATTAGTAATAGTTGAGAAAGTAAACATTTTGGAGTTATCTGTTTGAGTCTTTTTTCTAAACCGCAAGCTTCTCAAGGTCAAATGACTCGTTTCTTACTTTCCATCCCACCTCCTTCTTTCTGTTTCCCAGAGGAGACATACTCTTGGCCCCTTTGAGCCTGCTGCCTGGTGACTCATCGTTCAGGTCTTGCTTACAGGTAGGACACTCAGTTCAGGAGGTCTTCTCTGATTTCTTCTCACTACCCCAGACTAAGATGGGCACTTCTGCCATGTGTCCTTGTAGTAAGGGCAGAAACAGGAAAGAGAGAGGGCGGCAAACAAACATGAGCTCTTTCTCCGATTAAACTAGGAGACAGTTGTAAGAGAAATTCACAATACGAAGATTAAAAATGGATCGAGTGATACCTCTTTTAATGTAGAAGGTGGAAAGGAAGAGGCTGTGAGTGGGATACAAATGAGTTTGCTGGTTTGGTAGCAGAAAGTTACAGGAGCTTATGGCTGACGGTTTTCATGTTATGTACGAAATCAGAGGAAGAATCACCTGTCAGTGGGAGATGGTGGGCTCAGTGGTGTGAGAACATGGAGAGGACATGAACCATGGAGAGGCAGTCTCACTGTGAAGCTTTTAAAGCTTCCCTGGGCTCCTGTGAGTTGCTGGGAATCATATTCTAGTTGTGGAGGGCAAGGCAAGTTGCCCTCAGAAAGCCATTTTCTGCGAGCATCACTGGTAAAATTCCTGAAGAGACCTCGGAAAACTAAATTTCCACCCCAGTTTCTCATGGTTTTTTTCCCTTTCTAGATCAACACCCACTTTTGTACCTAATTTTGTATCTGTAACTTTGTATTCTCTTCTGAAAGATGGTCCCACGAATTGTATACACTCCCCTGGATCCATCCTGAGCCCTGGGAGAACAGGCGACGAGGCAGGACTGAAAGCCCAATTGACGATGATGGCCAGTGATGGATAGTGGCTCCAGTCTGCCAGGGGGGTGTGATTTCCTCCAGCACCAGTCTTGGCGTGTACAAATCAGCTGGATTCTTCCCAGCTCCGCCTTTGCTAGAATACCAGTACCAGCCTATTGCCTCGATGTGGCCTCTGGAGCCAACTCCTTGCAGGCCACGTGTTGCTTTGTTTCTTCTACCTACAACCAGCTGACTCTGACAAGCATAACACCCCCACCCAAGCCCACACCTTGTGCCTCAGTGTTTACAGAGCCTTTGCTCTCACACTCGTGGTCGGCTTGCTGTCCTTGCTGCACAGACAGCAGCCCTCACGGTCCTGGGCGTTGACGTCTGCTTGTTCCTCCAGCCTAGAGGAGACATAGGACCATCAGTGCAGTTCATACTCTTCACCAGCCCCGTCTCCCACCCTTGCATGGCCTTTTCCTGTCCCTCTACCCTTCCTCTTCTCCCCGCCCCACCCCCGTCTCCAGGCGTTGAAATAGACCCAACAACCTATGAGGCAACAGGTCTCAGGAGTGAACATATATTGACTGCTTTCCCAGTATTCCCCTTCGCCCCTCTACCCCTTTGCTCATTCACATTGCCAGAATTTTCCTTGAGGGAATTAGTTGCTTCTTCCACTGTGGGAAGCCATAGAGCAGGGGTGTCAAACTCATTTTCATCAGGGTCCACATCAGCCTTGTGGTTACCTTCAAAGGGCCAAATGTAATTTCAACTCCTTAACAGTTAAGGAGTAGTTACATTTATACAGTCCTAAAATTAGCTTGGCCCTTTCAAGGCAACCATGAGGCTGATGTGGCCCCTGGTGGAAATGAATCTGACACCCCTGCCGTAGAGCATGGCCGTTATCATGCGGGTGCCAGAGTCAGACTGCCTGGGCCCACTCTGCGCGTATCAGCCATATGAACTGGGCAAGCTGTGTGACTTCTCTGTGTCAGTAAAATGAGGACAACAACAGTACCTACCCCAGGCGGTTCTTCTGGGGACAGCTAATCCTAATTAACTCAAGTGCTTTACATTCCCCACTGGGTGGGGTAGGTGGGATGGACCCCAGCTACAGGTGTGGGAAGTGATTGGTTTAAGTCGACTAACATAGCCCATCCTTGGCTGCAGTGGTTTGTTTACAAGGGAGCCAGTATTTATTTGGGCCAATGAGGCACAAGGAGATTCATGCCTCTGCTTTTTTCAGGAGAACCACGTCTCTTTCCCTGTCTTGAACAAACCAGCAATAAAAAGACTTTTGTGAGATAACCAGGGAAATTTGAACTCCAAGTATTAAATGATCCTCAGGAATTCTTCATGTTGCTTAGCAACTACGTGTCGATGTAAGAAATGTCCAAGCCTATAGAAAATTTTTATGAGTTTATTTCAGCCAAACTGATGAAATATGAGAAACAAAGTCTCAATAGATTGAGAAATGCTCTGGAGAATGGCAATTTTGTGGCTTATTTTACACATTACACATTACACATATTTTACACATTTTATACATTAGAATCAAAGGAGGAGACATAAGAGGGTCACGTGAGATCCATTGGTGGTGGATTAAGGAGGCAGTAGAAAACACGGATAAAAGGGAACGTGAAGAAACACAATTACGTTGGTGGGTAGAGGATAGTTAATAATTAACACTCACAGCAGGTAGAAACAGGATGTCGGGAACAAGATAACAAAGGGATTCTGAGGTCTTGTGCTCTGGTACTGATGGTTGTGCCTAGGAGGAGTCTAGAACAGAAAATCGCTCTGATACTTCAAAGATATGTTATCCCAGATGCATAAGAACCATGGGCAGAGCTCACTCAAGGTAAAGATCGGCCCTTGCTGAGGAAGCTGTAGACCTGGGACGTGACTACCTGCTGTGACCCACCCAGGCAGGACTCCGTGACCAGGCCGTCCTGGGCGGTTACTTCTGATCACTGAGCTTGTGGTGTTCTTACTTAGACACACATTAAAGTATTTATTGGTGAATGTGTGGTATCTGGATATCCCACTGCACCCCCCAAAAAATGTCAAGGGGGAAATAAGATGAAACACGATTGACAGGATGTCAACGTTGATGCTGAACAACAGGGCGCTTTGCGACACTATTTTCTCTACTTTTGTCTATTTGAAAATTGCCATGATAAAAAGGTTTTTTTAAAAAGTCTACTTGCTGAGGAAGAAAAGGACATTTTGTCACCAGATGTCCTTTGGATACTTTAGAACAGGACCAATAACGTGACTTCGGCTTATCGGCTGACAGATTGGGCCCATCTCCCTGCCTCTTCTTAGTGACCTTCCGCACAGGAGGCAAGAAGTAGGTAGGTCACCGAGCCACAGCACAGGAGAGCAGGGAGGCTGGAAAAGAGATTTCAGGTAGAGAGTTTATCAGGGCTTGGCGTTTCTGCATCCACGTATCCAGTTAAGTGAAGTCCCATATTCCCTCTGGCCTTAATCTACAGAGAAGCTCAGCCTTGGTGTGATTGAAGTCATTTCTATCACTTCTTAGATAATAAAATGTGAGAGCTGGAAGAAACTTGAGAAAATACCCAACCAAAGCATCTTACTTTACACCATCTCAATAATGCATTATAAGATGCAATATTGTAAAAAGGTCGTGGGTGGTGAGTAGGGTGAGATACTACTCACTGAATGAGAAGACTGGCTTCCTCACTTTGTCCCATTGCTCTCCTGCTACCCTGGGAAAATAACAAAGCAAATGAGATGTGTAGCCTGTTTCCTCTGCAAACTAAGGTAAAGGGTATGCTTTAGGGAAGGAAACCATCTGCATGGTTGAAAATGGGAAGGTCCATACTTACACACTGTTATATGTCAATGATATCTCAATAAAGCTAGGGAAAAAATTCAATTTTTAAAAAAGAAGTAGAAAAATAAACTGGGAATGTCCAGCTTCACACAATGGCCCCAAGGTGCTCAGAACAAGGACCAAAGCTGGCCACGGTTAAGCTAAATTTTCCTGAGTTTGTCCAGACTCCAGAGATGTGACTAGTGTTTCAAAGAAGATCAGTAAAGAGTTTGAGTCTATAGTCCCAAGAAATGCGTAATGCTGATGCTCCTGTCACCTCCGCTGAACATGCTGGCTAGTGTTTCTGGTACTGGTGAGGAAACTGACCCAAGAAGAGCCGGGCTCTTCTCACCATCCCTATGTTCGGCCTGACGTCTACCCACTCCTCCTGCCCTGAGAGGGCGGCCGGCCGGCTCTGCAAGTCTTGGAGAAAATGCTGTGTAGGTGTGGACATCTCATGCCAAGGGCCAATCCCACGAGAGGGTGGTGTGTAAAGGTTTCCGGGAGGGTCAGCGAATCGGAGGAGGCCAGGTTTCGTAACAGCAGCCAGCCGGGAGGACAAGCCTTCAGGGGTGGCCTTCTCCTCGGTCCCCTTTCATTATGGCGCAGACAAGACCTGACGAAGCTGTGGCTCCTCTATCTGCTCTACTTCCATTGGATTCCGAGGAGCTCACAGCTGACGTCCCACAGGCGCTCAGCCGTCTTGTTGTTCCGGGCCCTTGGAGACACCCAGGCCTTCTTGCAGTCACTGGAGGTCAGAGAAAGAGTATAAACATCCAGGAGTGGACATGGACCATCCAGAAAAGCATGCGGCCTTTCTCAGAATATGTTTCCAGATGTATAAAACATATCAGATGAAAAGAAACGAAATGTATTGAAATGCACTTTTTAGATATTGTAAAGAATCCATGACATAGTAATACATGGGCTCCTTTATTAACAAGAGTCAGCCCTGGGCCTGAGAAATGCTGGATTTCAAAGTAGTGGTAGAGCGGAAGTGACATCGTAAGAAAGCTGCAGCAACTGCAGTGTGACGTGCAAATATCATACCTTTATGGGTGACAAAGTCGTAGGTATTTCTACTAATCCTGCAGTTCATGGCCTACATTCACAGAAAACACAGTACCGATAAAGAAGAAAAGCCTATGAGGTCATTACTTTTCCTTATACTCTTGTCTGCTTTGTCTGTATGAGTATATAAACAGCTCCACGGTCTTGCGCTCTTTAATACAAAGCCGGGATTGTCCTGTATCTATTTTGGGAGGGATATCTTTCTCTTGTTAAAAATATATTTTTTAATTGTACAAGTAATAAATAAGTATATGATCTTTACATTTTTTAAATAATAAAGAAGTACCGGGAGTAAAAAGTGGCACTCCTCCTTCCCATTCCCTCTGACTCTCCCCCAAACTCCCTCAGAGCGACCACGACTGTGGTTTGCCGTGTGTCCTTCCAGACCGGATTACTGTATTTACAATGATAATTACACAGTTCTGTATCGCAGCTTTGCTCGTGATATTCTATCACCAACATTGTCTCACTAAGTGTTATCTGGAAATATTTCATTTAGTGAGAGCAATATTTTATCATGTATGAGGGCAGTGACATTAAATTCAGACTCTAGAGGAGCATCATCTAATAGAAATGTGATGGGAACCATTCATGTGAGCCACAGATTTTAAATTTTCTAGTAAAAAATGTTAAAGTATATTTTAAAAAGTAGCCCTGGCTGGTATGGATTAGTGGATTGAGTGTCGTCCTGTGAACCAAAGGGTCACTGGTTTGATTCCCAGTCAGGGCATGTGCCTGGGTTGTGGGCCAGGTCCCCAGTAGGGGGTATATGAGAGGCAACCACACATTGATGTCTCTATCCCTTTCTTTCTCCCTTCCTTCCCCTCTCTAAAAATAAATAAATAAAATCTTTTTTAAGTATATTTTTTAAAGTAAAAAATAATTACATGGAATTAATTTTAGTAATATGTTTTGCTTAACCCAATGTAGCCAAATCACTTCAGCATGTAGTCATTATTACTAATTATTAGTTAAATATTTTACATGTCTATGCTCATAATCTGGTGCCCATTTTACACATGGAGCACATCTCAATCTGGACAAGCCATGTTCCAAGTGCTCGGTAGCAGCCACATGCGGCAAGTGGCAACCAGTGCTGAAGAGCACAGCATCGGAGCCAGACTACCGCGGTCCGACACCCAGGTCTACCACTTACAAGCTGTATGAAGTTAGTTATTCTGTGCCTCAGTTTCTTCACCTATAAAATGGGGGTAATAATATTATCTACCTCATAGAGCTGTGACGATCGTGTGAATTAACACATGTAAGACACTTAGAAGAGTGCCCACCACTTTGCAAGAGCTCAGACGACATTAGCTATTACTTATCCACCTCCTAGTGTTGGACACTGAGGTTATTTCCTACGCTTCACTGACGAATGGTGCACCGAAGGGCAGCCTTGAACGAAGTGAGACAAGAAAGCAGACTGGGCAGGATCAAGTCACAGAAAAGGAAGGAGATTTAATCCCAGGTTTCTCTTTATTCCCAAACTGAGTTTGTGATAAGACTCAAGACTGAATGTCTATTTGTACTTTGCAACGGATAGTGCCAGTCTTGGCAGCATGGGGACAGTGGCCTTGCCCTCATGCTTTGTGCTAAGTAGTATTAAAGAACACATGAAGAAAGTCAGCCAAAAGCTTCAACAAGGAGAAAAAGGACCCAGATAGTCTGCTAATGTCCTTTCCAAGGCACAATCAATAGAGACAGTCTTCTCTAACAGCTCTCAGAAAGCTATAAATCTTTCCTGGAAACTTGGCACACAGGTACACAATATTGCCATCAAAGCAACTCTTGCCAAGTTTCTAATGTAAGTTCCCTGGGAAAAGTAACAGCATTTGGTTTGCAGACCCAGCTCAAACCTGGATTCTGCTATGAGGTACAAACTCGGTCGCCTGGGGTGCAAAGCCCAGGGAGCCCTGTGTCTCACCCCGCACACAGGCTGGGGAGAGAACCTGCCCTCACTCCACACACCTGAAGTACTTGCCACTCAGGGGCTCCAGGCCCTCAGCCAGGGCGCAGTGCAGGCTGGTCTGTGCACCCTCCCGCGCCGACTTGACAAAGGGTGAGAAGAGCCGCCAAAGCAGGCACAACAGGAAGGAGTGCCGGATCAGCTCGGAGCGGACGATGCCTGGGTGCACTGCGTAGGTGGTGACCCCTGTGCCTAGGGCCAAGAGAGCAAGCACAGTCAGCCCAGGGACACACTCTGAGCCCCGAGAAACAGCTCACCTCCTGCTGCAAAATGCACAAGTGCCAAGAAGGGACTCAGGGAACAGAACTCTTCTCCTAGCCAGGTACAATCTGACTAGTAATTAATTAACCTCTTCCAGAAAGATCTATAGTTTTCTCAGCCTTCTGTGCTCCAAAAGATGCTTGGTTGAAGGTCCTTCTATGTCAATGTCACCTTTCTCTGTGGCTTAAATATTGGTAATAGAAACAACAACCTGTACTAGTGGCATTACTATTACTAGTAGCAGCAGTAGCAGCAGTTATTGACAGTGGCATCTTAGGGACTTCTATAGGAAGGGCTTCAGGGAAGCAATCAGGTTGGAAGGAGGAAAGCCAATGTTTGGAGCTGCATTTGCCGGGTAAGCATACCTAATGAGGTATAAACTGAGGGGTGCTGATGGAGATGATAGGGATTAACACTCCCCAAGACACCCCTAGTGCCTCTACTATTTTTAGTACTTATTATGTAAAGGGCCCACTATATGCTTTACCTGCATTATCTCGTTTGATTCTCAAAGAGGCTTGTGCAGTACGTTATGTTAAGATGCCCGTGCACAGCTGAATAAACGGAGGCTCATTGCAGAGAGGTAAAGTAAATTGCCCAAGGCCATTTCTAGCAGGTTTCAGGGCCAAGGTACGAACTCTGAGGTAAATAGCCTTGACTCCAGAGCTAGACTGTCCGGATTTGAATCCTGGCTCAACTAGGACACTTGCTTGGTCAAGTTTCCTAATCTCTCTCTCTCTCTTTGTAGACCAGGGGGAAAATAATAGTACCTGCCTCATAGGGATATCGTATTAAATGAGTTAAGCAAGCTATGTACAGTACATGGCAAACACAAAACTCTCAATTATTATTGTCATTATTATTACTTCTTTTAATGATTACCCTAGTCTTCTACCTTCTGTGTTCTGATAGTAAATACCATTGTTCCCGAACTCTGCCTTATTCAGTGTAGCAAACAGTCCCCGTGATTTGCAGATGTCAAAGGCAGTAACTCAAGGAAAACTCCAGAAAAATCACAGAATCATAGGACTGAGAGAGGCATCACTTCATTTGAGAGTTGAAAAGGTGAAGTCAAGGAAGGTTAAAGGGACCATACACACACAAACACACACATATATTCATATATGTATGTATGTATGTATATATATAGATATATATATATCCATGTACACACATGTCTAGTACGTGTTAGAGCAAGAACTTAGACCCAGTGGCCAGACATCCAGCCCCGGCTCCCTGGCTCCTGGCAGTAGCACCCCTATTGTTCAGTTCACTGTGTGAGCCTCAGCAAATGGCGTGCAGAAGTAAGCATCCTGGCCCTGGCTGCTGTAGCTCAGTGGATTGAGTGCAGGCCTGCGAACCAAACAATCACAGTTCAATTCCCAGCCAGGGCACATGCCTGGGTTGCAGGTCAGTTCCCAGCAGGGGATGCATGAGAGGCAACCATACATTGATATTTCTCTCCTTCCCTCCTTCCCTTCCCCTCTAAAGATAGATAAATAAAATCTTTTTTAGAATCCTAATTTAAAAAAAAGATGTAAGCACCCTGGATTTAAGCAGAGTGCCCACACTCCAGCCCTGACTCCTTTGCTTGCCATACAGATTTGGACTGACCACTTCTTTGGACCACAGTTTGGACCCATATAATAATAATACCTGCTCTGCCTGTTGCAAGCAGTTGTTTGTGAAAAGTAAAATGAGATAATAAATATAAGAGTTGACAGACATGTAAGGTAACTATAGGTTCCCAAACTTCATTCAACTTTAAGCTTCCCAAGGGCAAGAACCCTGTTTTTGTTCACGTTCAATCTCATTCCCCTTGGTGCACAGAGCTACCACTGTAATGCGCGTGCTTGACCTCCTGACTTCAGAAATTTCTGGGAACCTCTAATCTGGACTGAAGGCCCTGCTTTTGCTATCCAAACCCTGGCCCTTTCTCCAGACTTACCTTGGAGCCTCTTGGCCAGCTCGCGAGTGAAAAGCACATTGGCCAGCTTGCTGTGGCTGTAAGCAAAAGCCCGGTTGTAGCGCTTCTCACCCTGGAGGTCGTGGAAGCGAATCTTGCCAGCAATGTGGACCATTGACGACAGGTTCACCACCCGTGCAGGAGCAGACTCCTTCAGCCGCTCCAGGAGCAAGTGGGTGAGAAGGAAGTGGCCTGCAGGGACAGCCAGCAGGGAACACCGAAGAGTGGAGTGGCTGCTCAGGCTCAGGGTGTGGGTGCTAACGACAGGACTTTGGCATTAGCTTACTATCTTCTGTAACTCAGTGCTAATGGTCAGGTAGTCTGAGTTAGTGGATTCCTTAAGGCAAGGGCCAGTGCTAGACCAGCAGTAAGGCCATATAGACTTAATCTGTCCTTGTTTGAACCTCTGCCCTTGCCCCCAGTTGGAAAAAAGATGCTACCTGCTGGCTTCCAACCCCGCTATGGCCATGATCACTCAACTGTGGGTCCGGGCTTACCTGTGTACAGAGGGAAGAGTGGCATAATCAGGGAAAATAACATTTGTCTAGGGTCAGAGGATACATTCCACGATCTCCTCCCTTAAGCCATCACCTTGAACTCTTAACCCAGCCTCTCTCATACCTCAAGTCTCAAGGTTTGCCTCCTCCATCAACCAACTCTTGGCTTTCTTAGCCCTCAGTTATAGATGTGACCCCCTCCCCCAGCCAAACACAGATTCTTGCAGCCCCATGCCTGGCCCTGCTCGGCAAGCCTTGTGCTACCACAGCTCCATCCAAGAATGGCCTTTTTCTTCCTGGTGTCTCCAAAGTTTGGGATTTCTATTTTTTTCTTTTTCTTTTACTCTTTTATTAAATTTATTGGGGTGACATTGGTTGATAAAATTGTACAGAATTCAGGTTAAAATTCTATGATACACCATCTGTACACTGTATTGTATATTCAACACCCCAAGTGAAGTCTCCTTCCGTCACCATTTACCCCCTTAAACCCTCTTGTACCACCACCACCCCCACTCCCTTTTCCCTCTGGTAATTCCTTAATGGTATGGATAGAAGGATCTCACTTTTTTGGACTGCTCAGGAGAGGGATAGTGAACAAAAAAAACAGTATGTCCAGTCTGGAACCCTGGCGTCTAATAGGACCACTGGAGATCCTCAGCACCGGTGTAAGACCATCTGTACCTGCAGAGGGCAAGTTGGGGTCAGCCTCACTGCTCAGCCACTCGAAGATACTTACCCAGGTGGTTGACTCCCAGGTGGGTTTCAAAGCCATCAGCTGTCTTGGAATATGGACACATCATCACTCCTGCATTGTTGATCAGAATATGGAGCTGCTTTTCCTCTATAACACAACCAGGGAAACCTGTAGTTTGCAAGGGGTCTGCCAACTATCCCTCACAGACCTGCGTATTTACATCTTGCCTTTGGACCTAGCTTTAGTTCCCACTATCTTCCTGGACACCATTCATTCATTCATCCTTTCTCTCAGCAAATAAGTCCTGAGTACTGACTCTGGGCCAGGCCCACTCTGCTGGGCACTGGGCATACAGTGTAAGGCAAGACAGACATTGTTCCTGTTCCTCATGGATTTCATAGTCATTGGTAAAAGCTGGTTATTTTCCAAGATACAGAAATTTTGGCAGCAATACAACCTCATTTGGTGCTTGTGGCCACAGAAGGGTGCTTCTCAGAATAAAGAAGAGCAAAAGCGTGGCATCAGGGCCACACCTTGACGTCGGGGCACAAGCCCAGACAGGGAGTTGATACCTTCAACATCCCCACTGCAGAGGAACAGAGACGATAAGGATCCTGCCCAGCTTGTCCACCTGCCATCCCTTTGCCACTTTCCTGCCTGGCTGGTTCAGGCGGCAGAACCTGTCCGGTGGAACCCAGGAGAGTTCTGATGTAAGGATCAGAGATGCTTTAGGGTGGAACAACCCTTCCCACACCCAGCTGCTTGCTTTTCCAGCTACCCACTAGGGCTTTACCTGCCAGAAAGCCCTCAGCAAAGGCTCGGATGGATTTGGTATCCGATAGGTCCAGTTTCCGCACCAGCACCTGGGAGTTCTTTGTATCAGCTCGGATTTCACTGGCGGCAGACTCCCCCTTCAGTATGTCTCGGCAGGCGATGTATACCCGGGCTCCTGAGGCCAAAAAAAGAAGGAAAAAAAGGGCAACGTGTTCATGCCCTAGGCTGAGAAACATATAGTAAGTGAGCTTGGGACCGGTGGACAGAGCATCCTCTAGCCGTCCCTAAAGCAGAGGGTGGCTATACTGTCACTTCAGGATCCTCACTGACATACTGCTCATTCTTCTGGCTATCAGCTCAACTCCAGGCTGGGAGCCCTGGTTTTTACACTCAGATATTTAATGTTGCTTAGTATCTCCTTTAAGAGTATCGGACTTGACCAATCCTACACACGGACATCACTGCTTTTCTTACTTTATATAACAGGAAGGGAGCAGGGAGGAAGGAAGGTTTAGGGCCACACAGTAAGTTGGTGTCACAGGTGGACTTGAATCCCAGGTTCCTTGAATTCCTGGCCAGAGCCTCCAAGACCAGGAAAAAAGACAAGGAAATGTGGGCAGAGCCTGGGTGAGAAGGGCTGCCCCGTGGGCACAGAAGTGGAAGGACTTGCCTCTGCGAGCGAGCTCTCTGGCCGTCTCCTTGCCGATGCCCGTGTTGGCGCCGGTGATCACCACCACCTTCCCAGGAAGCTGCACATTTGTTTTACAAACCCCACCAGCAAAGAACTTCCTACAGGCAAGGGAAACAAAAGCATTCATGCACCATCCTCCCCAGTCCCAGACTGAGAAACATAAAATCCATCCAGCTTCAGAGAAGAATTCCTTTCCATTGCCATCAGGAGACCTAAAGCAGCTGACCTGCAGGGGACACCTTCCCAGTGGGCAAGGGGGTTCCTGCTCTTCAGTTAAGGTTAGAAGGTCATATGTCCAAGAGCTACAAATGGTCACCTGGGCATACAGAATAAGTGCTCTTGAGCTGAGGCCATGGGAGACCTTCCTTATTAGATAACAAAAATAACAAAGCTCTTCACTCTAGAGGTTCCCAGAGGTCAGCTTCCTCCTCTAATCTGCTTTTTTTTTTTTTTTAAATGTGCAAAGAGCATTAGTGGAATCAGTAGTCCTGAGCATCATGTTTTCAAAAAGCACCAACAGCAAATAACTGATGAAGGAAGGGGTCCCACACTCATGTGGTTCCGGAGCTCCCTCTCCAGTTTTAGAAAGCCAGCCAGCCTCTTCGGAGGATTTTTGCCACCCTCTACAGCCTCCATTCTAGCCCTCTCTCTCCAGCGCAGAGAGAAAACCCCTTTTCAGACCTCTGTCTGGAGAGCGTCTGTTTACATAGAGTTTACTTGATAGGTCCCCAAAAGAGGATGGGAGGGGAACACATGATTTTCTGAGGATTATTCAACTGCCAGGCACTAGGCTAGGCACTTTCCACAGGGAATTTATTTAGATCCTCTCAGTCTCTCTATTATTATCTCTACATTACAGTGGAGAAAACTGAGGCTCAGAGAAGTTCAAATCATTTGTTCATGGTAGCAAAATTCAAATGAGAGCCCAGGTTTCTATGCCAGGACCTAGAGCAACACCCTGTCCCTGATAGGTCCGTGTAGCCTTTGTTATCATCAGCAGCTTAAAAATTCTCTACTCAGAACACACATTTCTTTGACACCCCCAGAAACCCCACATCAAAAGAGCCATCCCAAAACCTTCATTAGTTGAGGGAAGAGAGTTTGTTTCCTTCCCCAAATGCCTTGTACTTAACAATGAGTCCCTCAGCAAAGACCACCCGTGGTAACCCAGCAGGGACACCTTAACTGGAAACAATGAAGAAAGGAAGACCTTCCGAGGAGCCCAAGGGAACAGAGTGAAAGAGCAAGGACTTCCACGTAAGGTATCTGTCAAGCTATTTAATAGTCATCTGCACAGCCTTCCACTAGCACCAGAATTCAAATCAGCCCCTCCACTCCCGGCCCCAGGTGCTTCTTTCTGGTTTTCCTTCATGATATCCATGATTACCTCCTTCCTTTCTGCCCTTTCTGCCCTCTCTCCCTTGACTTCTAGCCCCTTCTTTTCTTTCAGCAGCTGAGAATTCATCTACTTAAAAGTTCCGTGGCTCCCAATCTAGGACTTTGCAAAATTACTGAAGTTACTGAATTAACACAAACCTGATAAATGGAGCTATCATGTACAGGAAGGAAAGGAAGGAGCTGAGCAGTCCCAAGAAAACCATCATCGTTTCGACTTCTTTAGTTGCTGCTTCTTTAGCAAAAACAGCCTCAGCTCTAGCTCTGGTTCGGGCTCCTGGTCTGGCTCTAACTCTTGGCGGCTTCTTTCTGCTTCTCCCTCTTCTAGTTCCTCTTGAGCTCTCAGCAACAGCCAGGCTCTAAGCGTAGCCCAGAATCCTATTTAAATCCGAGAGCTGTCAGGGCACAGCCTGCTGGGAGATGTAGTCCTGGGGGAGGACAACAGAGGAAGGAGTAGAACCTCACACTGACTAGCAAAGAGAATAAAGGAAAGTGGAACAATTGCCCCCTAACTTTCCCATCCCTGATCATTTCTTTTATTTAGGGAATGTGTTCTCTCCAACCACCCCCACCTCTACTCCTGCAAGACAGAATGTTTTTAGCTTTAGCAACAGACCCCGTGGTATTTGAAATACAAATGTGATCAAAATGGAAAGACAGGGAAGAGACACCCAGAAAAACGGTGAGAGCAGCCAGGACGGTGGTTCCCCTTGGTGGGTAGGCATAGCGATCCGGAAGATACAAGCTGGGAACTCTGGTGAGCACTGAGTCACACCCTTGATTTGGGCACTTTTCTGTGTTTTATGCAATACTTCAGTGAAGTTAGCACACCCATGTAAATGCCAAAGGAAAGGTACAGTGTTTCAGTGCATGGACTTCCTGGTCCAAATCCCAACTGATCTACTTAACAAGCTCCATGACCTTGGGCAGACTACTAAGCCTCTGTGTTAACTCAGTTTCCTCACTTGTACAAAGAGCATGACAAAAAATACATACCTACTTGTTTCAAGTTTTAAACAGATAATGAAACAGGTAGACAACTTGAGACAGAGACTAAAACCTAGGAAACACTTGTAGAATTGGCTGTCATAATTAACTGTGCGGATTCCTGTCTCCCTTGCTACCCCACCTGCTTCCCCCAAGGGTTTGGTGTAGAAAAGGGGGTGATAATGAACGAAGGTGATGTTTCCATTGAATGCTATTACAGAAGAAAGGAAACACAAGGGCAAAAGCTATCAGGAAGTCTCACAACCCTCTGGTGGTGGAAAGTAGTGTTCACAGCATTTCTTCACTTGGCATTCCTCTCCTAGACAGGACAACAGTCAAGGAATTAAGACAGGACCCCAGTGATCATGCCCCAGTTCTGCCCCTTCCTGTGAAGCTGGCAGAAGTTCCAGGAAGACATGTATGATGACTACTGTGGCATGCAAGTATTCACTGTCTGTCTCATCAGTCCATCCACCCATTTAATCTATACTTACTTCGTAGTTCTTGGTGCCAGGCTTTGTGCCAAGTACTTCAAATACACCATTTCTGCTCCCTTGGAATCCCATGGATCTGGTAAATAGAACAAAGAACTATCAGTAATGTACTTATTGTTCCCAGTAAATTGATTCCCGGGGCCTCTCCTATCTTTTCCCCCTTCTCTTACTCTGGCTCCAGTTCCCTGCAGAGACCTACAATGTCAGCTGTAGAGACCTCAAAGTCCCAGAAGCTGCTGATATCTTGTGGCTGGAGCCTCCTAGAAGTTGATGTCCACTGGGCCAACGCAATCCTGCTGATTGGACAGAGTCCTTTTCCACCTACCACCTGGTGACGTTGACCCTGCCACACCTTATAGATCATGTGTAAAGACAAGATATGCAGGCACTTTATGCTTAGAGTCCTCCCTATCCCATGTAATCGGGGCTGCAGTCAACCATTGGGACAGGCACAATGCAGTCAACCATTGGGACAAGCATGCAAATTAAAATCGCTTATCAGATTAGCAAAGATCAAAAAGGCTGTCACAGGGTCCACTGACAAGAGTGTGAAGACACAGTGAGGCACTGCCGGTGGGAGAGCTGATTGTTACAGGCTCGAGAGAGAGGTGTGGTGACATCTGAGCTACGCACGTCCTCGTTGCCCTGACATTCATTTCCATGTGTTCACAAGGTTGTCATTGCGCCATCGTGTGTAATAGCAAAAGTCTGGAAACCTTCCAAAGGCCCATTAATTCTACGGCCATAAAATGACTCCCACACAGCTGGGGAAAACAGTACTCTTTAAACGTGCTGATGTGGTAGAAATCTTGAGACATATCAGGGGTGTCAAACTCATTTTCACCCAGGGCCCCATCAGCCTCGTAGTTGCCTTCATAGGGCAGAATGTAATTCTAGGACTGTGTAAATGTAACTCCTCCTTAACTAGGGGCAAGGAGCTCGGTGCTGCTGTCGGGCAGAAACAAGGTAGAGGGCTGCATTCGGCCTGCGGGCCTTGTGTTTGCACCTGTGTATTAGGTGAAAAAGCAAAAAGCAGAACGAAGTCTATAATGTGCTACCATTTGTTAAAAAAACAGACGGAGTGGAGAGACATATGTATACAACAAGGAACAGGGTAATGAGAAAGGGGTAACAATGGTTGCTTCCAGAAGAACAGAGACAGGAGTAAGAGACTTTTCACTGAATGTACTATTCAGGACCTTGTGAATTCATAACCTATGGCTTATTGGAAATTTAAGTTTTTAGCAAAAAGAACCAGATAACTCTGAAACAACTTGTTCGTTTTTAAAAATATTTTATTTACTTATTCTTAGAGAAAGGGGAAGGGAGAGAGAAAGAGAGGGAGAGAAACGTCAATGTGTGGTTGCCTCTCGTGTGCCCCCTACTGGGGACCTGCCCTGCAACCTGGAGGTGTGCTCTGACTGGGAATCGAACCCATGACCCTTTGGTTCACAGGCCAGCGCTCAATCCACTGAGCCACCCCAGCCACGGCTCATTTTTGTTAAATTACTCACTGTGATATCACAAAACAAGGGGATTTCTCAAATCCATATTGAGACATTCTTAAACCTGTGTTGCTGCATAAGCAAAGCCATCATTACAACCTACGGTACTTCATCACTGTAATTGACGCCAAAGGGATCACAGACCGATCTGATGCCTGGTTTTTCAGGGACGTTCCACCTGAGATAGAATAGGTCTATGTAATAGAGCAAAAGAGGTGGAAACACCAGAGGAGCCAGAGCAGGAACGGCCCCGAGATCCCCAATGAAAAAGCACCCACTTATCAGGCACAGCTGAACTGGGAGGTGTTCTTCACAGGTCAGAAGGTAACACCACCACCGGGGGAGGTGAGGGCGTGCAGAAAGCTGGAGAGCTGCTCCGTGCTCTGACCTTTGGTCTGAATTCCAGCGGGGTCACAATCCGCTGGCCACCTTGTCATCCCTGACCCCGTTACTCCGGGTAGAAAGTAGCCTCTTACAAATTAGAGTAGAAGAACTATAAACCTCCCCTTTTCTCCCACTCTTCCCCTCTGCTCCTCTTAAAATAACAGATTTCCGTGAATTCCTGGGGCTTACATGGTCTGTATAGTAGTCTTCCCCAAAAGGCTTAGGAAGATGAAGAGGGTTTACAGTTTAGCAACATAAATGGCAATATTAAACTTTAAATAGCGCTGTTCTTGAAGTACTCTGGTCTCCCTGTCGCTGAACATTTTCCACCAGTCACTTTTATCTGTAAACTCTAGTGCCTGACATTTTTCTTAACTCTCTCTTTTTCAGCTTTAATGAGGTCTAATTAACGAATAAAGTTGTAAGAGATTTACAATGTACGACAGACGAAGGCTTGATTTGGGGTGTCAGCACACAGTGTGGTGCGCGTTGGTGGATTGCAGAACTGTGCGCCTGAGACCTGTACAACTCTGGAACCAGTGTCACCCCAGTGAATTTAATAAAAAGGGAAAAATAAAGTACACAACATGACGCTTTGTTACCTCTGCTCTTAAAAGTCTTGTGTCCTTTCTGGTCGTTCACCTGAGCTCCACAAATTCCTCTGTGTTTCTCGTAGGAGGCAATTTAGCTATGTCCAATTATCAAACTGTCTCATCTTCTCCTTCCTTCCTGAAGGTGCTAGAAGCATATTTTCCCAAACTAAGACAGCTTTTAACTGTAAAAGAAACTGCTTTCCAGCCTTTAAATGGCCCTTTACCCAACTTCTCACACAGAGTAGTAACAAAACAAAATTTGTGCCACTCTGTAACCACGATGCACAGCAAGGAGCAGAGGAGCATGACAGCGGAGCCTACCGGTTGCAGGGACAGACTTCCTGCGTTCAAAATCCTGACTTGACTTTATTCAACAATAAAATGAGAAATAACCCACCCTGGCTGGTGTGGCTCAGTGGACTGAGTACCAGCCTGTGAACCAAACAAAATGTTGCCAGTTTAATGCCCAGTCAGGGCACATGCCTCCGTTGTGGGCCAGGTCCCCAGCTGGGGGTGCGTGAGAGGAAACCTTTAGATGTTTCTCTCTTGCACTGATGTTTCTCTCCCTCTCTCTCTCCCTACCTCCCCTCTCTCTGAAAACAAATAAATAAATTTAAAAAATGATAAATAACCCAATAAAATGATGCAGAATAGACAACTCCAGGGAAATGTTTCCAAAAACAAAATGGCTTATGAGTACACAAAAAGATGCTCAGCATCATCACCCATCGAGGAAATGCAAATACGAGCCACCATGAGCCCTGGCTGGTTCGGTTCAGGGGACTGAGCACTGGCCTGTGAACTGAAAGGTTGGTGATTCAATTCTCCATCAGGGCACATGCCTGGGTGGCCAGTGTGCAAGAGGCAATCAATCAATGTTCCTCTCCATCTCTTTCTCCCTCCTTTCCTCACTCTCTAAAAATAAATAAGCAAATTCTTAAAATAAAAACACAAAACGATGAGATGGCACTTACTCCCATTGGGATGACTTAAATCTACTGGCAGGTTTAAGTGTTGACAAGGATGTAGAGAAACTGAACCGCCACACACTGCTGGTAGGAATGTCAAGTAGAATAGCTTCTTGACAGTCTGCTAGTTCCTCACACAATTAACATATGACCTAACAATTCCATTCCTAGATATATCTTCAAAATAAATGAAAACACATACCTGCACAGAGACCTCTACACATATGTTTATAATGACTTCATTATATTTACCAATGAGCCAGTAACTTTCTGAACCCTCAAGCCCTTGACCTCTTCATGTCCAGGAACTTTCTCCTCCAACTCATCCCTGCCCCTCAGTCTGTCAGCAGCTGGAACCATCTACCTCTAAAGCCCTACATTCAGACCTCCCACCCTCCTGCTCGCCTAG